GCTCCCTGCCTGCATTGCTCTTGAATACCATGGGAGCAGAGACCCAGCTGCCGCTGAGCTCCGCGTCCTGCAACTCTCCCATCTTGCTGTGGAATCTTGTGCTGTGAAGCTGGGGACACAGAGCAGGAGTGCCTGTTTGGACCAGCTGACGTAGAAACCCTTTGACAGGAGCTTTGGCATCACCCAGAGTTCATAGAAAGCATCTTTTAAGGCATTTTTATTCATGAGCTTTTATGATCAGAATAAAAACATCCGATTGGAGGCAGGATGGTCCAGTGGTTAGAGCACTAGCCTGGGACTCTGGAGACATGAGTTTAGTTCCCTGTTGTGCCACAAACTCCCTACGCTGCAGCTGGGAGCTGGAATTCCCAGCTCGGGTGGATGTACACACGCCAGCTCTGCTCGAGCTGGGGCTGTGGTGGCATGGGCGGCGGCTGAGGCTGGCCTCCCGAGTATGTACCCTTGGGGTTGGGCGTGATTCTACTCAGGCAGCTAGCCCATGCCGTCGCGCCCACGCCGCTATTTTTAGCGCACTCACTCGAGCAGAGGAAGTGTGTGTACCTCTACCCGCACGCTCCCAGCTGCAGTGGGGATAGATGCCAAGGCCAGACGGGACCATTGTGATTATCTTGTCTGACCCCCTGCATAGCACCTGCCAGAGACCAGCCCCACAATATTTCCTAGAGCAGAGCTTTTAGAAAAACATCCAGTCTGAATTGAAACATTTTCAGTGACGGAGAATCCACCAAAACCCTTGGTGAGTTGTTCCAATGGTTAATGACTCTCACTGTCAAAAATGCACGCCTTATTTCCGGTCTGAATTTGTCTAGCTTCAACTTCCTGCCATCGGATCGTTTTGGACCTTTCCCTGCTAGACTGAAGAGCCAATCATTCAATATTTGTTCCCCATGCAGGTACTTATAGACTGTGATCAAGTCACCCCTTCACCTTCTCTTTGTTACACTCAAAGAGCTCAATCTGTTTAGTTTATCGCTCTAAGGGCTAGTCTACACTACCCGCCCGGATTGGCGGGTAGAAATCGATCTCTCGGGGATCGATTTATCGCGTCTCATCGAGACGCGATAAATCGATCCTCGAATCGACGCGCTTACTCCCACTTCGTCAGGAGGAGTAAGCGCCGTCGACGGGGGAGCCGCGGCGGTCGATTTGCCGCCGTCCTCACAGCGGGGTAAGTCAAATAGGATATGCCGAATTCAGCTATGCTATTCGTGTAGCTGAATTTGCGTATCTTAAATCGACCCCCCCCCCCTTAGTGTAGACCTAGCCTTAGGCAGATTTTCTAATCCTTTATCATTCTCATGGCTCTTCTGTGAACCCTCTCTAATTTATCACCATCCTCCTTGAACTGTGGACACCAGAACTGGATGCAGGATTCCAGCAGCGGTTGTGGCACTGCCAAATTTAGAGGTAAAATAATCTCTCTGCTCCTACTCGAGATTCCCCTGTTTATGCATCTCAGGATCTCATTAGGTCTTTGCTCATAGCTTCGCACTGGGAGCTCATGTTCAGCTGATTATCCACCAACACCCCAAAATCATTGTCAGACTCACTGCTTCCCGAGATAGAGTCCCCCACCCTGGAAGTATGGCCCACAGCCTTTGTTCCTAGACACATACATTTACATTTAGCTGTATTAAAACGCGTATTGTTTGCTTGTGCCTGGCTCACTAAGAGATCCAAATTGCTCTGTATCAGTGACCTGTCCTCTTCAGTATGTACCACTCTGCCAATTTTTATGTCAGCTGCCAACTTTATCAATTAATATTTTGTTTTCTTCCGGGTCACTGATAAATTGTAAACAGCTTAGGGCCAACAACTTGCACCCCCTGTTGGACCCCACTAGAATTACACCTGCTTTTTGATGATTCCTTGTTTACAGTTCCATGTTGAGGTCTGTCAGTTAGGTCGTTTTTAACCCATTTAATGTGTGCCGTGTAAATTTTATATCATTCTAGCTTTTTAATCAAAATGGCGTGCAGTACCAAGTCAAAGACCTTGCAGAAATCTAAGTATATTACCTCAGCATTGTTGCCTTTTTCAGCCAAATTTGTAATCTCATCCAAAAAAAAAAATCAAGTTAATCTGACGGGATCTATTTTTCATAAACTCCTGTTGATTTGCTTTAATTATATTACTCTCCTTTAATTTTTTATTAATCAAGTCCCATGTCAGATGCTCCATTATCTTGCCTGGGATCGATGTTGAATTGATAGGTTATAATTACCTCTGACATCCTGTTTACCCTTATTAAATAATGGCACAACATTAGCCTTCTTCCAGCTTTCTGGAACTTCCGCAGTGCTCTAAGACTTATTGAAAATCAGCATTCATAGTCCAATCAATTCCTCAGCCAGCTCTTTGAAAACTCTTGCATGCAAGTTATCTGAACTTGCTGATTTTAAAATGTCTAACTTTGCTTACTTCTGTTTAACTTCCTCCAGAGATTCCAATGGACTGGAAAGAGTGTTATCATCATATGATATGACTACAGCATCTGTGTTTTCCCGAAATACAGAACAAAAATATTTATTGCCCAATTCTGTCTTCTCTGAATTATTATTGATAATTTTGCCATTTCCATCTAGTAATGGACAAATATTGTTGGCAGGATTCTTATTGTTCCTAATATACTTAAAATCCTTCATATGATCCATAACTCTGCTGACCATAGATTTCTCCTTGTGTCCTTTGCTTCCCTTATCAATTTTCTACAATTCCTAGCTTCTGATTTATATTAATTACTGTTGCCTTCCCCTTGCTTCTGTTTATTATATATTTTATTTTTATAGCTGCCTTCACTTCGCCCTCTCAACCAGCTCAATTTTTAAACTAATATGGCCTCCTTCCTCGATTGTGGCTTTTTGGACTTCTAGTAAAGTATTCTTAAACAATTCCCAGTTATCATTTGTTTCTCTGATTAAATTCTTCCCTCAGTGGATTTGGTGCATAATTGTTTTCAGCTTTGTGAAATTGCTTGTTTTAAAGCACCAAGTATTTATATCTCACTGGTTTGGACTTCATTCTGTTTGCACATTATAAATGTGATCAATGCAAACATATCCTTCGCCTCTTCATTCTTCAGTTCGCCATCTGTACAATGAGAATAGCAGCACTGCCCTGCCTCACAGGGGTGATTGGAGGGTAAATACACTGACTGTGAGGCACTCAACTACTATAGTGATGGGCGTACACAAGATAGATAA